TGATGAGAATTCTTTATGAAGCAATTAACAAGGAAATTTGGTTAGTCTGTGACACACATTTTAAGGTAATAAATGCATTTATGACTAGTATTGTTATATATCAGATTTTTAGGAATTTTATACAATTTTTTGAACACATAACAATATATAGTCACACAAATACAACCCAAAAAAGGTTTAGCATCACTTCTGATTTAATAATGCTTTCCCATGTAATTTAACATATCAAATAAGCCTAATTAGTTTTTCATCCCTTTTTACAAGGAGAGAGAATAAATCTTTCAAGACGGTCCAGGGACCCTCTGCAAAATCCCAAAGTAAGTTCAAGGCTGAAAAGACTTCATTTAGAATTTGATTTGTGGGGACATTTGTCAAAAATATTAATAGGTTTTAAAAACTTGATTAATAAATCACAGGTTACTGTGAAATAATACTAAGTTATCCACTTAACAAAAGTGACAACCAAAAACTTTGCAGGAAAATACAGAAAGTTACACAGTAGAAAAAAAAATTAGTTATTTTAATAGAGAAGACTGTCTTCTTAAGTAATCAAAGACCTGATAAAGGGAACACGAAGCACAGGAAATTATTTTGACAAAACACAAAATCTTTGCCTTCTAGGCAGATTACTCAAAGGATAAAGAAACACCTTCCACAATCTTATCAAGAGGAGACTAATAGTCCAAGAAAACTGTCCTTTTAGCAGATGAAAGAAAATTGAGTTTTTGTTTCCATAAATACCTTATTTTAAAAAATGCTTATAATAAATTTGTACTATTTTAGCTAGCATGACCACACAAGAAAAATTCTTTCTCTATTTCTCTCTCTCTCTCAAATGATCAGCATTATATTATTTTTCCCTTAACAAAAATACATCTCCATATCTCATACTTTCTCTGAGCCCAAACACATCTTACTTTGCTTGCATAGTGTTGTGTCCCTTACTATCTCATATATTAATTAGAATTCTTTTTTTTTTAAGATTTTATTTATTTATTCATGAAAGAGAGAGAGAGAGGCAGAGGGAGAAGCAGGCTCCCAAGGAGCAGGGAGCCCGACGCGGGACTCGATCCCAGGACCCTGGGATCATGACCGGAGCTGAAGGCAGACGCCCAACCATCTGAGCCACCCAGAATTCTTAACTGTTAGAAACCTTAATTTCTGGTATGCAATTGTGAACTCTTATACCAGTATTCTATAGATTGGTAAACCCATTAATGTACTTCATAACCTCTAGAAACGTATGTTTTCTTACAGTACAATTTTTTTAATGTGGCACAAGACATGTTGACTGACAGATCCAAATATGTTTAGTTTCTCTGCAATAAGAAGTCAAAAGTTGATAAACCTATGTTCAATAATTAATGTTTCTGTATTTTATCTTACTTAAAAATGACCTAGATATTCAAGGAATTTCCATCATTTAACTTAACTTAGCAAACCTCTGAAGGTAAAAGTCACCACAGAGATTTGGGAAACTTTAAGTAGACATATCATAAAAAATAATTATTGTTGAAAAATTCACTTAAAAATTTTTATCTTGCTTGCATTTATTTAATTCACTTGTTCATTTTTTTAAAGATTTTATTTATTTATTTGAGAGAGCACGCACGTGAGCGGGGAAAGGAGCAGAGGGAGAGAAAGAATCCCAAGCAGACTCTGCACTGAGTATGGAGCCCCACCTGGGGCTTGATCTCATGACCCTGACCTGAGCTGAAATCAAGGTCCAACACTCAACTGACTGAGCCACCCAGGTGCCCCTAATTCATTTGTTCTTAATAATCATATTAGATTACTCAAAATTTCATGAGATATTAAAGCAGCTAGCCATTATCTTAAGTTATTTTTCCTGCTGACAAATTTTATAACAGAGATAATATGAACTTATTTGACTTTAAGTAAACCTAGGTAGAATGCCACTAACTGTTTTTAAATGCCAACAACTCTAAAGACATTCCTATTTTGATTAAACCAACTAACTTAAACTAGCCTTTATTTACTAAAGGTTATCCTAGATGACATGAACTTGAAAGCACTTGGGTTGACTTCTATTATACTTCTGAGAGTTTTGAAATATTTAATTTGATAAGTGCTCATCTTTCTTTAAGCCAGTTTAATAGGGCTTTACTACAAATTAATTTTGGAAATACCATTTGGAGGTTGGAAAAATAAATCACACATTTATAACATACATATATAAACGTACATAAACACACAGGCAGATACAAACTGAGACCTTCGAGCTTTCATTCTAAAATGTTAGCCATGAATCAAATACAATAATATAAAACTCACAAGTTTACAAGTAACAGTTGGATCCAAATTGTGTTTCTGGCAGTTGGAATAAGTTAAGTTTACCCACTCATATGGCTAAATTTTTTACTATTTGTGGAGAAGACTTTTAAGATTTGTATTTGCCTTTGACAAATAATCTTATGAAAGCTGTAGACTAGAGTTTGAGCAAGAGAGATTTCAAAGCAGATTGTATTTTTAAAAGCCTCCCACACACACTTTTTTCCTTCAGTTTCTCGTGATTGTAGACAGTATTTTAGTTATCTCCGATGGTGTTTATATTTCAAAGACATGGTAAGACTTACACCTCAAGGGACAGAGAAAGAATGCAAATTTTTACCTGAAGTCTAAGGTAATTACTATTTAAATTTTTCTTTTTTTTTTTTTAAGAGCAGGACAAATGTGTTTCTAAGGGCCTGATTTTTTACATTTGAAAATGTCTGGAGGCAAATAGGAAAGGCTCTCTGCAGACTTTAAGTTGTTATCAGAGTTATGCTTTTGTTTCTTTAAAGATTCAAGTTGCAAATGAAGAATTGTCAATTTCAACTCCTTTATTTTCTCCTGCATTCCTGATAGCTTTCTTCAAAGAATTGGGTAGCTTCTCCCATTATAATGCTTAGAGGTTGACTAGCACACCCGTTCACACTATTTTGAGTTTGCCTTTTTACATCAGGGAGAAATTTTCCTACCAAGGCAGAAACTAAAAGATTTCTATGTTCTGGAGCTTCAGTGCAGTATGCCTTTGAAAAATCTGTATAAAGCATTCAACAAAGGCCTTTGGATGCTCTCCTTCTTTTTGAATGTACAATTCAAACTCAGACCAGTTCACCTTAGGGGGGAAAGTTCTATGGCATCTTCTATCAGCCCCTGAACATCAGCCTCCAGCTGTTCTATTTCCTGATCATTTGTAGGAGGGCCTGAGAGAAATTCTGGTCATATGTTTCCTCTTTGAGAGGGGGTTTTCTCCAGGGGGCCATCTGATCTGTCTGTTAACTACAGTATAATCAAGGGTGGGAAGAATATCCTTGCAGCTAATCAAGGTCCTTGTGAGTGGGGTTGTAAATGGCCACTAATCTTTTTTTTTTTAAGATTTACCTATTTATATCAGAGAGAGAGCAAGAGAGTGAGCACATGTGTAAGATGGTGGGGAGGGGCAGAGGGAGAGGGAAAGCAGTCTCCCCACTGAGCCAGAGCAGATGTGGGGCTCCAACCCACAAGCCTGAGATCGTGCATGACCTGAGCCAAAACCAAGAGTCTGATGCTCAACTGACTGAGCCACCCAGGTGCCCCTAGCCACTAATCTAATTCCTCTCTAAATTTGGTAGTATCTTCTGAAAGTGGAGGTAAAAGGGCTTTATAGTTTAAAAGATCTGTTGCTTTCCAGAGGACATGAATTCTTCAGGTGGGGCTGGAGGGTTCCGGATTACATCTGCAAACGATATTGCAGAGAAAGGCCTAAGACTGTCAGAGCCTGATTATAGAGACCTGGAAAGTAGGAGCAGTTTGAAGGGACAGCAAAACAAGTCTGCTAAATTTACTTCCTGGTGCTACTGCTAAATACACTTCCTGGCTTTCAGCATTTACCTGAGTAACCCATATAGCCTGGGCCTAGAGATTAGGCTGGAGTGCCATCCGTAAATCTTGTAGGGAAAGGGAAGTTAAAACAGGCAGCTAGGTGTTTAAGGGATTTTCTGGGGAAGGAGGAAGAGTTTGGGGAGCTAAGGGAATTCGCTGAGGAAATGGGGCTAGATTTTCAGAAGGGGAATTTATGTTGAATGTGGATTTTAACTTTTTTCTAAGTCTAATTTCTGTTCTTTCATCTTGTTAGTCCCAAAGGCTAGCCATTATACTCCTTTGAATCCACTTTTTAATTTGATCTTTCCATAGGTACCAAAATGACAACTGTTCAGAATGAGAGCTCTCTTAAATATTTTTCAAATACAGAAGCTTTTCCAATTCAAAGGACCCATCATTGATAAATAGGATCTTACATTAATCTCAGTATTGACTCAAGCCAAGAACCCTTTTATGGCACACAAGACGTAAATGGTGTCCCAAAAGAGAGTACAAAAGATGCAGCACCAGAAAGTTCAGAAAGTTCACTCCCGGTTACCCTATGAAAGCAAAGACTCATGGTCACAGGCAGTGAGAACGGTGTAATGAAAATGGTGTCTCCAGTTTCCCATGAGAACATGAGATGCCTCCAGGTACAGACCTAGGCAGGTGCTCCTGAATGGGACTTTTCCAGCACCATCAAGACAATAAAGGTTGAGACAATAAAGGTCCTTTATGGGCTGGAAACTTTTGCAACAAACTCCCCTAAGAACTGGCACAGCCAGACAAAGAAAGTGCTGTTCGTAACTTTGTTTTTTAGAACCGTCATCTATTCAACTGGCCACCAAAAGCAAGCTGGTGTGTACATCTTCTGGCTGGCAGAAATCTGAGAGAATATTCTCACTAGTTACAAAGCTAAGCTCTCAAGACATAGAACAAGATGAAAGAAAAACTTCATCCAGTTTTTACACAGGGGACTCACAGCAAAGCTTCTCTAAATAGATGCTGGTCTGTTGAGAACCGTGAACTCACCAGTCTGTGAGGCTGGCTCAAACAACAGGTTTATAGGACCCATGCCTGTGTTGCACTCTGTGGTTTTCTTTGTTATGACAAATGACACAAAAGACAGAGACAAAAGAAAACAACGGTCTCTGGGAGGAAAGCGATCAATAGAAAACAAGAGTACTCATAACAAACCTTTACCAGAGTTGCTCTACCCAAGGGACTAGTGCACACAAGTATTTTCTCCTGCTAATCTAAATTTAGAAAAAGAACTCTCACCACTGCTTCCAGCAGAACTTGCAGGCAGAGAACTGGGAGACATCTGGACATGGTAAGAATTCTTACCTTCTGTGGGCTCCTGTCAGAGGTCCCAGGATCTCTGAGCTGCTGCAGCCAGTGGAGAGCTCCACATTGGGCACCAAAACTGCAGGGGTGAAAATCTTTTTCCTTCTTCCCTTCTAGGTTCTTTGGCCTAATAACTAAATTGACATAAGACCAGTTAACAGGAGAAAAACAAATTTGATTTTGTACGGATGAGAGCCCCATAAAAAATATGAGACTCAAAGAGGTGACCAAAGCAGGCAGCTTTTATATCTTTCAGACAAGGAAACAATAACTTTGTAAAGAATTGACAAAATAAAGGGGTTTGGGCTTGGGGTATTAAATTAGTGAAGAAGTAACAAGTTTTGTTAATATAGTCTTCTTGGCCCTAAATTCCCTATCTTTAGTGATAAGAGTGCCCTCTACTCTTTTGCTACAGGGGAGAGTATCTTTCACATGGGAGATTTATTTCCTGCTTTCAGGGGGACAAAGGAGGATCAGAGTGTCCTTCTTGCACCAGCTGTCTTTGAAATAACTTTAATTCAAAATAATCAATATGCGAAAGGGGCATTTTTGGGAGTAGCATATTCTACTCTCCTTCAATTCCAGTTTCTTAAAGATTATACAAGATTGTCAAGGAATACACCAAAATATTAGCAGGGGTTATGGCTGATTTTTTATTTTTTATTTTTACTTTTTTGGAAAGAATCGATACTTACCTGTCTTGTGTTTCACCCACTCAGGGCCAAATCTGAAAAACCATGATAATGGGGCCAAGGGTGCTCAGTGCAGTGTGGATGCTTATGAAAGAGAGTTCTTTCACACAACAGAGCCCACCTGAAACCAGTGCCTGAAGTCCAAGGCACAGTGAAAGGCCAGCAATGCAAACATTTGGATAGAAGGTAAGCTCTCACTTTCTCTGATCACACCAAGTAAGAACAGGGGCTTTAGTTAATGTTCACTTGGGTGCCAGGCTTTGTGTTAGTGTTTTTCGTAGATGGTCTCATTTAAATCTCCAATACTCCTGGGGTGCCTGGGTGGCTCAGTTGGATACGCATCTGTCTTCAGCTCAGGTCATGATCTCTGGGTCCTGGGATGGAGCCCTGTGTCAGGCTTTCTGCTCAGCAGGGAGTCTGCCTCTCCCTCTGGCCCTCCCCCCACCCCACTCATACTCTCTCTCTAAAATAAATAAAAACTTCTAAATAGATAAATAAATAAATCTCTAATACTCCTATGAGTTAGGTACCCATATTATTCTCATTTTATATATGGAGAAACTGAGGCACAGAGTGGTAAAATAACTTCCCACAACACAACTAACAAGAGATGGAGCCAGGATCCAAATGTACACAATGATTCTAGAGTCCACATTGACTATGACACTCTCCTCCCCCATTTAAGGGAAGACGGGGAAAAAATATCCATTGTATACATCTCATCCTAGAGCCACCTGCTAAAATGTCCTTGGTGGAGAATTAGGCAGCATACTACCTAATGGGAAAATTCTGGATGGGGCCTGTAGGAGCCGTCTGGTACTGGGCCTGGCACTTACTAGGTTTGTAACTTCGGAAGTCATAGCCCTCCAAGCTTTGACTTCCTCATGCATAAAAGGGAAATAAAATGACCTGCCCTGTAGGCCTTTAAGGATAGCTGTGAATAGCTGTGAGAAAAAACACATAAAATTTCTGTGGAAACTGTCAAGTGCCATACAAGTAAGAACTATTATTAGTCATAATACAAACATGGAACTCTGAGAGTATTAAGAATGGACACCAGATTGCTCTGAGAAGCTCCCAAAGGGTTATTCTCAGAGGAGTATATCATAGTATCCCACAGATATTTGCTCCAGCCGTGGCCTGACAAGAGTGGTGTGTCATATGGAACCTGCACCTGATTTGCAGCACAGGGCAACACACGATATGGAAACACCTACCTGTGAGTAATGGACACTGAGGTGAGCTGAATAGCAGCATTCACGCAACCCAAATCCTGGCCTGGGAAGCCATTGAGAGAACTGACTCTGATATTCTGACAGTAAGGTCTTTCTTGGCTCATGAGGAAGATCATAATAGGTTAATGATGGTGCCCACTACATTCTAGGCTCTGCCTATGCTAGGCCCCTCATAAACATCTTCTCGAAGACTCACAGTATACCTACTATTATCCCCATTTTGCAGTTAGGAAAATAGGCTCAGAGAGGTTAAGGGGCTTGCCCACCAGATAGCTAGAGATAATGAGAAAATTAAGGGATGAAGACACAATTTTATTCATCCATTTCTGTTCTGATAAGGTTATCTAAAATCTTCTTTGGTCCCTCCAAGATGAAGATAATTAATAGATCATATTATCTCCTAGGTTCCTGTGGACATGTTAGGTAAGTAAAACTTATATTGATCAAAAACATGACCAAAAATGCTTTGTCACTTCCCTCAGAAAGAGATGTGGTCTATTTTGCCACCCTCTGGAAACTGGCCTGTGACTGCTCTGACCAAGAGAGCATGCTGGAAGAGACTCTCCCAGTTTCAGGTCCAGCCTATAAATGGCCTGGCAGCTTCCACCTCTCCCTCTGGAATCCAGTGGAGAAGCCCACCTGGAGCAGAACAAAGGCCCCAGCCAATAGCCAGCCCAACCTGTCCATCATGTGAGACTTACAGAGGCACTAGATCCTCCAGCCCAGTCAAGCTACCCCAGCCAGGTAACGTTACGTGTACCAAGACAAACTGCCCCCAATGGCAAAACTGTATGCAAATGAAGGACTGTTACTGTTTTAAGTGACTGGATTTTAAGTTTTGAGAACATGTTACATAGCAATGAATATCTTAAGATTGACTTAATAATTTTACTTCTAGAAACTTTATGTTCAGGCACTAATCAGGAATGCAGACAAAGGCTTACATTCCAAAACATTTCATTTTTACTTTCTTTTTTTATATATATATTTTTAATGTATTATTTTGTTATGTTAATGACCATACATCATAGTTTTTAATGTAGTGTTCTATGATTCATTCTTTGCATATAACACCCAGTGCTCCATTCAGTACGTGCCCTCTTTAATACCCACCACTAGGCTAACCCCTCTCTCCATCCCCCTCCCCTCTAGAACCCTCAGTTTGTTTCTCAGAGTCCATAGTCTCTCATGGTTCATCTCCCCCTCCGATTTCCCCCCCTTCATTCTTCTCCTCATGCTACCTTTTTTTTTTTTTAAACATATAATGTATTATTTGTTTCAGAGGTACTGGTCTGTGATTCAACAGTCTTACAAAATTCACAGCACTCACCATAGCACATACCCTCCCTAATGTCTATCACCCAGCCACCCCATCCCTCCCACCCTCCACCACTCCAACAACCCTCAGTTTGTTTCCTGAGATTAAGAATTCCTCATTACAGTGAGGTCATATGATACATGTCCTTCTCTGATTGACTTATTTTGCTCAGCATAATACCCTCCAGTTCCATCCATGTCGTTGCAACTGGCAAGATTTCATTCCTTTTCATGGCGGCATTATATTCCACTGTGTGTGTGTGTATATATATATATATATATACACACATCTTCTTTATCCATTCATCTGTCAATGGACATCTTGGTTCTTTCCATAGTTTGGCTATTGTGGACATTGCTGCTATAAACATCAGGGTGCACGTACCCCTTCAGATCCCTACATTTGTATCTTTGGGGTAAATACCCAGTAGTGCAATTGCTGGGTCATAGGGTAGCTCTATTTTCAACTTTTTGAGGAACCTCCATACTGTTTTCCAGAGTGGCTGCACCAGCTTGCATTCCCACCAACAGTGTAGGAGGGTTCCCCTTTCTCCGCATCCCCGCCAACATCTGTCATTTCCTGACTTGTTAATTGTAGCCATTCTGACTGGTGTGAGGTGGTATCTCATGGAGGTTTTGATTTGGATTTCCCTGATGCCAAGCGATGTTGAGCGCTTTTTCATGTGTCTGCTGCCATTTGGATGTCTTCTTTGGAAAAATGTCTGTTCATGTCTTCTGCCCATTTCTTGATTGGATTATTTGTTCTTTGGGTGTTGAGTTTGAGAAGTTCTTTATAGATTTTGTATACTAGCCCTTTATCTGATATGTCATTTGCAAATATCTTCTCCCATTCTGTCAGTTGTCTTTTGGTTTTGTTGACTGTTTCCTTTGATGAGCAAAGGACATTTCATCTTGATGAAGTCCCAATAGTTCCTTTTTGCCCTTGTTTTCCTTACCTTTGGCAATGTTTCTAGGAAGAAACACTGGCCCATGGCACACATGCTGGTCACCAGCATGCTCACCATTTTGGTTTTGTTGACTGTTTCTTTTGCTGTGCAAAAGCTTTTTATCTTGATGAAATCCCAATAGTTCATTTTTGCCCTTGCTTCCCTTGCCTTTGGCGATGTTTCTAGGAAGAAGTTGCTGCAGCTGAGGTCGAAGAGGTTGCTGCCTGTGTTCTCCTTTAGGATTTTGAGGGACTCCTGTCTCACATTGAGGTCTTTCAACCATTTTGAGTCTATTTTTGTGTGTGGTGTAAGGAAATGGTCCATTTCATTCTTCTGCATATGGCTGTCCAATTTTCCCAACACCATTTGTTGAAGAGACTTTTTGCCATTGGACATTCTTTCCTGCTTTGTCGAAGATTAGTTGACCATAGAGTTGAGGGTCCATTTCTGGGCTCTTTATTCTGTTCCATTGATCTATGTGTCTGTTCTTGTGCCAGTACCATACTGTCTTGATGATGACAGCTTTGTAATAGAGCTTGAAGTCTGGAATTGTGATGTCACCAGCTTTGCTTTTCTCTTTCAACCTTCCTCTGGCTATTCGGGGTCTTTTCTGGTTCCATACAAATTTTAGGATTATTTGTTCCATTTCCTTGAAAAAAGTGGATGGTGTTTTGATAGGGATTGCATTGAATGTGTAGATTGCTCTAGGTAGCATTGACATCTTCACAATATTTGTTCTTCCAATCCATGAGCATGGAACATTTGTCCATTTCTTTGTGTCTTCCTCAATTTCTTTCATGAGTATTTTATAGTTAGTTCTGAGTACAGATCCTTTGCTTCTTTGGTTAGATTTATTCCTAGGTATCTTATGGTTTTGGGTGCAACTGTAAATGGGATCGACTCCTTAATTTCTCTCCCTTCTGTCTTGTTGTTGGTGTATAAGAATGTCACTGACTTTTGTGCATTGATTTTATATCCTGCCACTTTACTGAATTCCTGTATGAGTTCTAGCAGTTTTGGGGTGGAGTCTTTTGGGTTTTCCACATAAAGTATCATATCATCTGTAAACAGTGAGAGTTTGACTTCTTCTTTGCCGATTTGGGTGCCTTTGATTTCTTTTTGTTGTCTGATTGCTGTGGCTAGGACTTCTAATACTATGTTGAATAGCAGTGGTGATAGTGGACATTCCTGCCACGTTCCTGACCTCGGGGAAAGCTCTCAGTTTTTCCCCATTGAGAATATTTGCTGTGGGTTTTTCATAGATGGCTTTTTTGATATTGGGGTATGTACCCTCTATCCCTATACTCAGAAGAGTTTTGATCAAGGATGCTGTACTTTGTCAAATGCTTTTTCTGCATCTATTGAGAGGATCATATGGTTCTTGTTCTTTCTTTTGTTAATGTATTGTATCACATTGATTTGCGGATGTTGAACCAACCTTGCAGCCCAGGGATAAATCCCACTTGGTCGTGGTGAATAATCCTTTTAATGTACTGTTGGATCCTATTGGCTAGTATTTTGGTGAGAATTTGTGCATCCATGTTCTTCAAGGATATTGGTCTGTAATTCTCCTTTTTGATGGGGTCTTTGTCTGGTTTGGGGATCAAGGTAATGGTGGCCTCATAAAACGAGTTTGGAAGTTTTCCTCCCATTTCTATTTTTTGGAACAGTTTCAGAAGAATAGGTATTAATTCTTCTTTAAATGTTTGGTAGAATTTCCCTGGGAAGCCATCTGGCCCTGGGCTTTTGTTTGTTGGGAGATTTTTGATGACTGTTTCAATTTCCTTAGTGGTTACAGGTCTGTTCAGGTTTTCTATTTCTTCCTGGTTCAGTTTTGGTAGTTGATACATCTCTAGGAATGCATCCATTTCTTCCAGGTTATCTAATTTGCTGGCATAGAGTTGCTCATAATATGTTCTTATAATTGTTTGTATTTCTTTGGTGTTGGTTGTGATCTCTCTTCTTTCATTCATGATTTTCTTAAAAATATAAAATCTTAAAAAAAAAAAGTTGGGGGGTGCCTGGCTGACTCGATGGAGCATGCAACTCTTGATCTCAAGGTTGTAGTTTGAGCCCCATGTTGTGTGTAGAGCCCCATGAGAAGTTACTTAAAAAAATAAAATCTTTAAAATAAATAAACATTATCAATAGTATTATCATAATAGAGGAAAGAATCCATTCGCAAAGGAAAAATGAGCCTCATTTAAATTATCTCTATTATGAACTAGAATTGATGAGTAACAACAGCCTCTTTAATAGTACATAAGTTTCAGTTTTCAAGATACTTTCCCATTCATCATTGTATATAATGCTCATTATCCCTGGTAAGATGGGTGAGTAAGACACTAACAGAGAAGCTACCTGGACCTCCCACTGTTTCACAGCAAATCAGGAGTCAAGCCCAAGAATTTCCAATTCCATGGTTTCTTAATCCTGGCCGTGTGGCCACCGAGAAAAGCACTGTGATCCACTCATTTTACTTAGCTATTTCCAGATTTCATCTGTGAGTTGCTTTCCATCTGATATTTCTCTGGTAACAAATTCCTATGCTCAGCATTCAAAACACCTAACTTCTTAATACCTACCACATACTTTATGAAAATGTCTTGTGGTAGCATCTGAAACAAATAATACCTTTATTCTGTATGCTCCCTTTTGTATGTGTTCAGAGGAATGTAAAACAAATGATCTTTGTATCAGGATTGTCTGAAATCACAATTTGGATAAGTGTATGTTTAGGGTAGATAGGACATGCTTGTTTAGGGAGTCCTGAGGAACAATTCATCACAATTTGGACTTGTAAAAAATTCCATATATTGCCTTATTTTAAAATCTGAATTCAGGGGCGCCTGGATGGTTCAGTTGTTAAGCGTGGGCCTTCAGCTCAGGTCATGATCCCAGGGTCCTGGGATCGAGCCCCGCATCAGGCTCCCTGCTCAGCAGGAAGCCTGCTTCTCCCTCTCCCATTCCCCCTGCTTATGTTCCCTCTCTCGCTGTGTATCTCTGTCAAATAAATAAAATCTTTAAAAAAAAAAATCTTAATTCCGGAATCAGGAAGGATGCCAGTGAAGTCTTTAACTGTTTGCCATTACATGGAAAGTGCCCAATGCCCACCCCTGAGCAAGCAGGCACTCTGTCAGGGAATGCCCACTGGCCCACAGCACACCTCCCTTCTGGTCACCAGCATGTTCACCATCATCTCAAGTCCGGATATGTGCCCCCTTCGCCACCTGGTGTTGCACTTGCAGCTTTGTCTTGTCTAAGTTCTGGCTCGGGTCTCTGTAATCAATTAGCACAAGCTTGAAAAGAAGCACTGGCCCACATGTTGGGATGGGTAATAAACTTACACAAAATCACAGAGGGATAAATGGAAAGCCAAGCTTCATTAAGCAACACAGCTTAATGAAACTTGGCAGCAAGCATCAAATAAAAATGTCCTGCTCCTCTTTTTAAATCTATTTCTCGTGGACCTTGCTGCTGATATTATTTGGAGTGCAGCCACAGCAACGCCAAAGAGCTGAGGAAAGGAATACGGAAGGAAAGAAAGATGGTAGCTGGCCAGGAGGCTCTAGTCTCACTCCATTAGTTTTGCTCAAAATGACGAAGTCTCTCTGTCACTCAGTTTAATACATTAGTCTTTTAAGAATATATGTAACAGTTGAACCCAAAGAAAACTCAGAGGTTTGATATGTTAATAGAATTTAAGAGACTGTGACCCCTAAATAAAGAAACTTAGAGGTAGGGAGTTTCTTGTAAGACCTCTTATACCATGACACTCTTTTTAGATTTAAAAACAAAGCTCAGGTACCCGGGTGGCTCAGTTGGTTAAGCATCTGCCTCCGGCTCAGGTCATGATCCCAGAGTCCCAGGATCGAGCCCTGCATTGGGCTCCCTGCTCAGTGGGGAGCCTGCTTCTCTCTCTGCCCCCCACGCCTCTCTCAAATAAAATCTTAAAAATAAAATAAAACAAAGCTCAAACTTCATTACAAATTCTCAATAAAAGTTCTCACAAGTCATCCTGTTTACGAATTTATTTATTTATTATTTTTTTAAAGTGAACTCTATCCCCAACGTGGGGCTCGAACTCATGACCCCAAGTTCAAGAGTCGTATGCTCTACCAGCTGAGCAACCAGGTGCCCCTTGCAAACCTCATCCTAAAAGAAAACCATAAGACTACCTGTCATGTTCTGACTACACCACAGTCCAATCCTCTTTGGTAATCCATAAGCTTTTCTCTGATGCCAGACTGTGCAGATTCCAATTGGTTCTGCCACTTACTAGCTGAACGACTTGGGGCCAAGTACTGACCTCTTTTTCACCACTTACTAGTTATATAACCTGGAATAAGTGATTTAACCCTCTTTCACCTCAGTTTCCTCATCTGAATGGAGATAATCCTATTACCCACTTCATAAAGTTTTTGTAAGGCTTACATGAATTAATGTACATAAGGTACCTAGAATGATGCCTGACATGCAGTAAAAGCTGTTTGCCATTATTTCCTTTTAAGAACAGACATCCTATAGGCCTGTGATCTCAACTAGCATCGGTTATGCAAATACCAACCAGAAGCCCTGGGAAGTACAGAAGAAAATGAGAAAACAAATACAAAGCAATGCTGAATCACAAATTCCACATTCCTTCTGCTAGCTTTAACCAGTGAGCTGCAGTTCACTTTCTCTCCTTTCCTTTCATCACCCTTTTGATCTAGTGATACAAGAAAGGTGATGAACTTGAAAGGCAAGCAGCAAGAAGTAGGAATCAGGAAATAAGCTGGTGGGCTTCAGATTGGACAGGCCCCCCCTTGGTGTGGAATGCCTCACCTGCCCCAGTGCCACTCCGATGCAGTTCCACCTCTTTCCTGCCTATTTCCTGCCTACGGAGGCATGGACGGATGGAGAGAGGACTATGCTAGGATTGGCAAACTTTCAGAGCCATAAGACGCAAAAAAAGGACATGAATCAGGGAATCAGGCCTGTTGTCTGTGGCTCTGTCACCCACCTTTGAGTGTCCTGGGGTGAGTCACCTGAATTCTCCTGTTCTACTGCATCTACAGAATGAGAAGACCTATGTTATAGACCTCATAAAATGTGAAAATAAGTTGTAATAAGGCATGTGAAAGCATTTTGAGAAATATAAGGTACTATGAAAAGTTACATTAATGACAGGGTTTGCGTTAGAATAGCTTTCCCTAACGTTAACATGTTATACACAAAAAAGGTCTTATTATCAAGTTAATTTAGCAAATGCTGGGTTAAGAAAATTCTCCAGATTTCTCTACTTAGGATAGTGATCCCCAACCCGATTAGATCCAATATGCCTTTGTTGTAAACAAATTATCTTTGTTAATACCTCCCTACTACCCTAAAACAAAATTCATAGACATATCCTACATAAATGATTTCCAAAAGGACCACCAGCAATAAAATATGTATTTTAATACATAAATGCTTGAGAATAACTAACCCAAAAGACATAGTAGTGAGACACTTGTAGAGAGAATCATGGTGAATATGACAGCACAAACAAGGCTACAGAGTTGTGCTGTATCAGTACTCAATACAAAAAGTGGTGTTTGCTCATGATGTGCTTTTCTAAAATAGTAAATAATTCTTGGCAAAGCTCCAAACAAAATACAATCCTCCCTGGATTTACATGGTCATTGTACTCCTAAGACATTCAGTGTCTATTAGAAAAATCACAATTACTTTGTATTTATATGTAAAACAGAGCTAGGACCTACCCGAATTATAAAACAGATTTTTCAGCTACATGGCCACAAGGATAAGAGGAAGTCCCAGAGGGCAAGAGACAACTCATGCTTTTGTGGGACTGTCTGTACACTGCAGGCTAGCTAGTGTCCATCACCTCTAGGCCAATCAGTATGACAATAAAACACTCCCACAAATTTATAATTTATAAAACCTTCTCTAGGGGACAGTACCACTCTATTGAGAATCATTGGTATAGGGCTTCAAGAATGAGACATGGCAAGCAAGACAGAAGTCACAGATCTTTGAACATGGCAATGTGACCAATGAAGAGGAAAATATGAGAACACTTTAAAACAGAACACTTTTCTTTCCCAAATAGCTTCTAAGAAGACTATGGTTTCACTAATCACACTTTGGGAAATATTGATATTGATCATTTTTTAAAAAAGAAGATTTACTAGAGAAAGCATACTAAGTAACCTGCCACAGGTGATATGTTTTCCAGGAAAGTCTGATGCTTGGCTGGACCTCTCAATGTGTTACCATCCTGGGTCGTTGGGCTCTCCAAGCAATCGAAATTGACTGGAGCCAAGCAGGAATTTCAGGCAAGACTTTTATTGGGGCCTATGCTCAAGCACAAGGAAGACAGCACAAAGGAAAGGGTCCTTCAGGTTGACTCCTCAAACAAAGGCCAGGGAAAGTTTTTAGAGGCTAAGGCAGGAGAGGAGTGCCGGCTAAGCACGTAGGGGTGGAGAGAGATACAAAAGTTGGGTGCACAGGCACAGTGGACAGCCCATGCTTCCTTATGCATCTCATATCTCATTACCATGTTTAAATCCACTCCTGGGTGTGATACTCCGTACTAAAATGAGGGAAATAGTTGGTGAAAGGTCAGCACTGGAGTCCACCTTGGCAGAGACTGGTTTGGTCTTCACCAGTCTTCCTAGTCAAGTCTCCCCCTTGGTAAGCATACTGCTTCCGCATTCCTACAAGATATGCTACTCAAAGGGGCATAGTGTTTCCACTATCAAGGAATCTGGGATTTGCAGTCAGGACTGAGGGGAGCTGACTCCAGTCCCTGCTCGATCTCAAATGTATCAATAACACAGAAAAAAATATCATCTCTTCAAACACAAGAAAGAGGGAGCTCACAGAAACTTTTCTAGGACACCTAGACATCACAGACACAGAGCCTGAATTTCATTAGTGCCATTCGGGATAAATGGTATGAAAGTTTGATATTTGGAGTCCAGACTGTTGCTTGGAAGTCACTTTTATGGTCCTTGGACATATTAATACATAAATTTATTTTTCAAGGTCTATACATTTCTCATGTTTATTTCCCAAAAGTAAATGGGATTTCTAGATCAGTCCAGTGAATGAGGCAAATAATGTTAACTATTTTTTTCATTATCAATTCAATATATAAAATTAAAACAATGAAATATTTATCTCCATTTGTTCTCCAAACTTGCATTTATAAGCATTGAAAGATACCTTTAAATTGTAAAATCTACATTTTAGATTTCACTTCTCCCAAACCTGGCTTTAACTCATAACCTAGTGACTACTAAAAAAATGACAACCTCACTATTTAGGGCATACTGAGGCTAAAAATGTCTCAATCTCTACCTAAGTGGAAGAAATAGGGGTGGGGCTCCCTGCTCAGCAGGGAGTCTGCTTCACCCTCTGCCTCTGCCCGTTTCCCCCCCCCAACTAAATAAAATCATTAAAAAAAAAATAAAATAAAATGGAAGAAATAGACTCCAGTACATAATTACAGAGCAATCAGGTGAATGCTATTAGCTACAGGACTCCAGAGGAAAACACCTCACCCAACCAACCTGGAGACTCAGAAAAAGTTTCTTGGCGACTAACTTGTAGGGAGTCAGAATTATCTCCTTAATTACATGGTCAATACATTTTTAACAGATTTTAAGAGAAGCATGAAAACAGTACATCTGATTTTATAAGTACGTAGTGTGCACTGGTGCCATCTGGTGGACATTTGTTTTAAAAGCAAGCAGAAACTATATTTTGCAATATAGTTTATCTTATAGTTTCTGTAACTTGGGGACCAATGTATCAATTTACTTCTAGGTTTCCCTATCAACCTAAATCAGGTCACTTACTACATGGTCACACCTCATCTTCATTCAGATTTGTGGATGAGTTAAGTTACCACATTATGTGCAAAATAAGTACTTGACAGTGGTGTAGCAAAGGAAATTCGTATGAAATGGGCAACAAAAAGAATTTTTTTCCATAGTTGTAAACCTACTTCAATTCATCCAAGAGTTTTTAGAGGAAAGACTCACTTAAAAAATCTAAATTATGGATATCAATGGTCCTACTTAAACAAGATCTAGAGAAGCACAAACCTTAAGGAGAAATAAATTATGATCGTAACTACATCAGAGTTAAATATTTGTTTAATGAAGGACATTTGCAAATTTAACAAATAATAAAATGAGTGAAGATATTTGTAATGTCTGAAACTAACAAGGGCTATTTACACAAGACATTTCTTCAAATCAACACAAGAAAGAGGAAAGAAATAAGCACTGACCAAAAAAAGAAATGAAATACAGTATACATCAAATAAATATAAATATCACTTTACACCTATCAGGTTGGCAAAATATAAAGGATATTAGCAAGTGCTAGTGAAAATGTGAGGAAACAAGCTCTCAAGTATTTCTGTTGGAAAGAAATCTGGCAGTACTTAGTTAAGTATGCATATGTTCTATAACCCTACAATCTTGTTCCTGGATGTATAGTTACTTATTGCTGTGTAATAAATTACCCCAAAATTTAGAGGCTTAAAATGACAAACACGTATCATCTCAAAGTTTCTGTGGGTCAGGAATCCAGATGTGGTTTGGCTAGACATCTGTGAGTTTGGGTTTCTCAAAAGACTGCAGTCAAGGGTCACCTGCGTTACAGTTATCTCAAGAGTAAATGGGGAAGTAACTGCTTCCAAGTTTACTCACATAGCTGTTGGCCAGAGATGTAAGTTCCCTACCACACAGACCTCTCCATAGGGCAGTTCACAACATAGCAGCTTGTTTCCCCCAGAGAAGAATGAGAAATGGCAAGCAAGACAGAAGTCACAGATCTTTGGTAAACTATTCAGAAGTAACATCTCATCACACTTGCCCTATTTTATTCATTAGAAAAGAATCACTTGGTCCAGCCCACATTAAAGGGTAGGAATTTAAAAAAGGGCATGAATATCGGAAAGCAAGAACCACTGGGAACCATTTTAAAGGCTGCCTGCCACACTGGGTATATATCCCAGAAATTCTGAACAGATGAATAATAAAACAGGGATAAAGCTGTTCATTGCAGTATTGTGTGAAAAACAGTTGCAGGCAACTTAAATGCCCATCAACGGGAAAATAGATAAGAGAAAATGTGATATAAACATATGGAAAAATACTATGCGATGAGAAATGGTGAACCAAATTTATATGTAGCAACATGGATCTACTTTAAAAACATAAGGCTGAGTGTAATAGAGTAATGTACAACAGCCTTTATTTAAATTTAACCCATGAATAACATTATATATCTTTCAAGAATTTCAATGTATCTACATAAAAGTATGGAAGGTAGACATATGTGACAAGGGTAACAAAGGGAGAAGAAAAATGGGCATGATGATTTCCATGGACAACATGCCATAAAATGAGCATAAACAATTCAATTCTGTGGTTCTAAAGGTGTTAAAACCAAGGCCCAAAAGACAGGAGGAAAACTAAGGCCTCCCTCTATGGCGGTGCTCAAGCCTCTGAGTTCTTCCTAGAGAGAGCCAGTTACTGGTTATAAATTCACTTTACCTACCCTTCTATGTGCTATTCTGAACATCTTGGGGCTGGGAGACCTCAAACTGTATTTCTACTCTCTTGCCAGGTGGCTTCCTGTTAGGCAGTGGAGGGAACGGAAGAAGCTGAAGAAAAAGAAAGGCTGGGGCTCCCAGTGTGTGGCAGTTGCCGGCAGGCACGTGTGCTGCTACAACAACGGGGGATTCCAGACAAGCGGCCGGCAGGTCTGGTTAACCAAACGCCCTTCGGTTAGGTGACATCTCTTCAGTAGAGCAGCCCTGCCTCTGAGCACAGCCACAGGTCAGCACAAAGGGCTTCAGTGTCTGCAGCTCCTCCTCTGTTTATTACTCCAGGCCCACTTGCCGTCTTCCTTTTTTGCACTTCTGGCCCCTTTATGTCAGTACACACTACAAACCATCTGGAAAATACTGCTTTTCTGGGGCCCTGGGTGGCTCAGTCGCTGAGCGTCTGCCTTCAGCCCCACATCGGGCTCCCTGCTCCGCGGGAAGCCTGCTTCTCTCTCTCCCACTCCCCCTGCTCGTGTTCCCTCTCTCACTGTCTCTCTCTCTGTCAAATAAATAAATAAAATCTTTAAGAAAAAAAAAAGAAAAAAATGGGCTCTTTTGTGAGACTCTTCTAAATAAATTCCATTAGATAGAACTGAATAAACACACACACACTCTTTAGTCACTTTCACTTTTCTCTAAGGAACATCTCAGATTATCAAAGATGAATAAATTGCACAATAAAATGTCAATATTCACTCATTTCTTTCAAATAAATCACTTGATAACAGCAAAGAATTCTTTCTTTTCCTCTAATATTAGCTCTGATACATGGCACTGCTTTTGATCCATAACTTTTAATTCTGAAATACTTATATACTCACAGGAAGTAGCCAAAAAAAAAAAAAAAAGTACAGGGAGATCCTGTGCATTTTTCATACAGCTTCCTACCATGGTAATCTTATGCAATTATAGGATCAAAACTGGGAAACTGATACTGACACAAATCCACACAACTTATTATTCAGATTTTATAAGTTTTACAAACATTTGTGTGTGTGTGTATGCATGCGCACGCATTCACATGTGTGCACAATTTTATCACCTGGATAGTTTCATGTGATCATCACCACAATCAAGAACTATTTCATCACTGGGGCATCTGGGTGGCTCAGTCAGTTAAGTGTCCAACTCTCGATTTCAGCTCAGGCCATGAGTTCAGGATCATGAAGAGCCCCAGGTTAGGCTCTGCGCTCAGCATGGTGTTTGCTTGAGAGCTACCCCCCTCTCCTTTTGCCCCTCCCCTGGCTCATGCTCTCTCTCTCAGATAAATAAAATCTTAAAAAACAAAACAAAACAAAAAAAAAACTGTTCCATCACCAAGAGGCTCTCTCATGCTACCCCATTAGAGCCACACACAACCTCCACATATACCCCCATCCCTAAACCCTGGCCATCACTAAGCTGTTCTTCATCTCTGTAAGTTTGTTTCAAAAATGTTACCTAAATAGAACCATACAGTATGTAACCTTTTGAGATTAGTTTTTTTCACTCAGCATAATTCCCCTGAGATCCATCCAGGTTGTTGTATCAATAGTTCATTCCTTTATATTGATAAATATTATTCCATGGTACAAATGTACAATTATGTTTATAGCAACAGTATTCAATTTCCTAAAAAAATACTTTTCCTAAGAAAATCTTACACGAAAATCAAATATCTACATAAAAATGAAGCTGCTCAGCCTGACACAGAGTCAGGAAAAACTGGAG